GGGGGGGGGGGGGGGGGGGGGGGGGGGGGGGGGGGGGGTGAGACGGCCGCACACGGGCCCCCTCACCGCCCTTGGCGCCGGGAAATCGCCGGCCTGCCAAAGGGGGTGTACGGCGTGGGTTGGGGAGCACTGAGGGAGCCCTGGGCACACAGAGCAAGAGCCGATCGGCCCCAGTCAGGGGGACCCAGCCCCCTGGACTCAAAGCGAGGGCCGAGCGACCCCAGCTGGGGGGCCCGGCCCCCCAGACTCAGTGTGACCTCATGGGTCTAACTTCTGCCTTCGGGTATCTAGCGCCTCCCGCCCACCCAAGGCACAAGTTGGAGATGAATCATCTCTTGCTTCCAACTCCGCTCCCCAAATCCAGGCCCGACCCGTGGTCACGGGCTGGGGTACCGGCCCCGGCACACTGCGGGTACGTGCTGACTCAGCAAGCCAGCCCCTCACTTCCCTCTTGTTCAGCTCCCGGCCTCTCCCCCTCTGGCCCCTCCCCGATCGAACCACTTCCTCCTTGAACTGCGGGCACCGGAACAGGATCGCAGCCCCATGGCCGGATCGAGGGACAGTCCCCTCTCCGCTCCTATCAGAGATTAGCTCCCGGGGCCCGGCGGGAGCTCCCGGTCACCTGACTGTCCCCCTTACAGAGTCCCGCCCAGATCTAGGGGTCCGCGCCGAGGGTTTCAAGAAGAGCTCGGACGAGCCCCTGACACGGAGAACCTAGGTTCATTTGGTCCCATCTCAGCGCCGGGGCTGGACCCGCCGACGTCCCTTCCAGCCCTAGTGCTCGAGGCAGCCTGGGACATGGGGACAGACTCGCCCAGTTCTCCCAGCAGGCCCCAGAGGCCCAAAAGAACTGGAGTCGGCGCTGTGGCAGCGGGGGCGCCGCGCCCGGCGTCAGAGAAACGCGAGAAGATCCAGCCCAGCAGGCCTGTGTCCCCGGGCAGCAGGGCACCAGGGCCGGGTGAGACAGCAGGGCGGCGCTCTGCGGCCCACGGCCAAGCCCCACGGTGAGGGAGGGGCACAGCGGGCGGGCGACACACAGGCGAGTTAGTCCATGGAACAGAGCAGGGCACTGGGGGGGGAGCACCGGGGGAGACTGTCAGCCACAGAACCACCAGCCAGGCTTTTCCTAGCCAGGGATGGAACCCAGGAGTCCTGGCTCCCAACCACTAGACCTCACTGCCCTCCCAGAGCTGGGGAGAGAACCCAGGAGTCCTGGCTCCCAGCTCTAACCACTAGACCCCACTGCCCTCCCAGAGCCGGGGAGAGAACCCAGGAGTCCTGGGTCCCAGCCCCCCAGCTCTAACCACTAGACCCCACTGCCCTCCCGGAGACATGGAGAGAACCCAGGAGTCCTGGCTCCCAGCCCCCCCGTGCAGTCACCCCGCTAGGTCTCTCAGCAGGCTCTGGCCTGGCCGTGCCGCAGCGCCCCCTGCTGGACCCCACCCCACGCCGCAGGGTGGGTCACTCACCACGCTGCTCCGGGCCCTGGCACTCGGGTGTTTCGGTGGCCGCCCCGGCTTCTTCTTCTCCTTCACTTTACCCAGCTGTTTCTGGGGGCGGCGGAGAGAGGAGAGGGGTTACCCCCGGCCCCAGAGCCGACACAGCCCTGCCCCGCTCCAATCCCTCCTCCGCCCTACTGCCCCGCCCCCTGCCCCACCCTGCCGACCCCAGCGACGTAGGCTGGGTGAACCCAGATTTACAGCTTCAGGGAGCGACTGACACCGGCTTTCAGGAGGCGGGGGGCTCGGGGCCAGCCATCGACTCTACAGTTCTGTGCGGTAGGCCCAGCTCCCCTGGCTCCCAGCCCCACTGCTCTAACCACTAGATCCCACTCCCCTCCCAGAGCCAGGGAGAGAACCCAGGAGTCCTGGCTCCCAGCCCCCCCTGCTCTAACCCCTCAACCGCACTCAGCTCGCGGTCTCAGCCCCAGGCCTTTGCACCACACCAGCCTATGGGGCTCCCCCTGCACCGGGCAGGTCTGAGCTGGTTCCGGCCCCGTCTCTCACTCACCCTGCGCCGGGAGCCTGAGAGGCCGCCGGGGTCTCGCTCCAGCGACGGCTTCCATTTCTGGGGGGAGTGAAGGGAAAACAAGGTGAGGGGGGAGGGTCACCCGGACGCCGGGGTCCCTTCTGCAGAACACATGCAGGGCCTGGCGGGAGAGGAGGGGAACAGCGGCCCGGATGTCTGGGTCCCTCCACTTCCAGAGTCCGGACACCTGGGTCCCTCCTCCTCCGGAGTCCGGGCTGGGGGGACCGCCCGGACGTCTGGGTCCCTCCACTTCCAGAGTCCAGACACCTGGGTCCCTCCTCCTGCGAAGTCCGGGCTGGGGGGACCGCCCGGACACCTGGGTCCCTCCTCTTCCCCCAGAATTCAGGACAGGGAGGGTGACCCGGACACCTGGGTCCATCACCCCACCTGAGCTGGGTGGGTACCAGAGGGCGGGGCTGGATCGTCGCCCCCCCGGCTTGTTGCCCATCCGGCCCCACTGGCTGCCAGGCGTCCCCCGTGTCACCACCACGGCCCGGCTCAGGCCCCCTTGGCCAGATGAGAGGGCACGCACACCTGCCCCACGGCAGAGGGGCCAACCGGCAGCTCCCGGAGCCACAGAGCTCGCCCAGCCCCTGGCCCTGCCCAGCCCCATAGTGCCAGAAAGGGGGACAAGGCTGGACACTGAATGTCGGGGTTCCCGTCCCCCCCTTTCCCTCCCCCGACGCAATGCAGAGTGCCCCTAGCGCGCCAGACACAGCCTGAGTCACCCCTACTGCCAAGGGAAAGGGACCAGCCAGAGACCTCACAGCGAGGAGAGAACCCAGGATTCCTGGCTGCCTGCCCCTCCCCTCTAACTACTGAACCCCACTCCCCTCCCAGAGCCGGGGAGAGAACCCAGGAGTCCTGGTTCCATGAGAGCTTGCTTCCTCCATCTCTAGGGTTAACACTGTGTGGGGGATGTTGGGGGGCTGGAAGCCAGGACTCCTGGGTTCTCTCCCAGGCTCTGGGGGGAGGGGCTGGGAACAAGGACGCCGGGGGGCTGGGACCGCACTCACTGTGGCTGCTGCGGCCGCGGTTAATCTCTTACGGCGCCGAGGTTTAGGGGCCAGGCCGTCCTGGCGGAGACAGAGAAGGAAGAGAAGAGATGCTCGCAGGACACGGCAGCGCAGACAGGCTGGCAGGACAGAGCCAGAGCAGAACCCACCCACAGGCGCCACGGGCCCCCGCCCCATGGGACCCCCCGGCAGAGGCAACCCACCCCACCCCTCTCCCCCGCTCTAACCACTAGACCCCACTCCCCTCCCAGAGCCGGGAGAGAACCCACGAGTCCTGGCTCCCAGCACCCTGCTCTAACCACTAGACCCCACTCCCCTCCCAGAGCCGGGAGAGAACCCAGGAGTCCTGGCTCCCAGCCTCCTGCTCTAACCACTAGACCGCACTCCCCTCTCAGAGCCGGGAGAGAACCCAGGAGTCCTGGCTCCCAGGCCCCCCTCCCCTTTTCTAACCCCGCCGGGGGTGGCGCGGTATCCCAGAAGTGCTCCCCGCTGCTCACACCCACTCACAGCGCTGGGCCCGGCCGCTGGCAGCCTCCTGCGGCGCCTCCCTGGGGCGAGCTGGGGCTTGGCGGGGGGCCCGTCCTGAGGGCAGGGAAGCGACAAGGAAAGAAAGAACGAAGAAGGGACAGGAAGGAGTGAGAGAGAGAGACGCAGAGTGAGCCAGTCCACGGTGCTGCCCTTACATTCCTCCCCTGCCACAGCCAGGAGAGAACCCAGGAGTCCGGGCTCCCAGCCCCCCTGCTCTAAGCACTAGACCCCACTCCCCTCCCAGAGCCAGGGGGAGAACCCAGGAGTCCTGGCTCCCAGCCCCCGCCCCCCCCCGGCTCTCACCACTGGACTGGGGCAGTGAGCTCACCGGGGGTCCCCATGCAGAAGGGGGGGCAGGGTTCGAGCCCCTCATTGCAGCTTCAGGCAGGGCCAAGGGGCGGTTTCGGGTGGGCCCGTCCTGCCGCCAGCCAGGCAGAGAGAGGGCGAGCGGCTGTTAGTTGCCAGGGGGCGGCGTGGCCAGGCCGGACCCCACAGCCAGGCCACAGCTGGGGGGGGCACAGAGGGGCAAGAGCCACAGGGCAGCAGTGCCAGGGAGGCGCACACGCCTGCCCCCCCAGTACACCCATGCCGGGGAGCCACAGGCGCCCGCCCCCCCCCCCCCCCCCGCGCCCCCCGAGCGCCGCACCCCCCCCCCCCACCCACCCCCACACAGGGAGCCGCACACCCCCCCCCCCATGGCGGGGAGCCACATGCGACCCCGCCCCACCGGGGAGCCGCACACGCCCACGCCACCCCCTCCCCACAGACCCACAGAGGGAGCCGCACGCGCCCGGCCCCCCACACACACACTCACCGGGGAGCCACATCTCTGTCACACACACAGGCCACCTGCAGGGCATGCTGAGAATCCCACCCCCCCCACACACACAGGTGGCAGGGCATGCTGGGAATCCCCCCCCCCACCACCACGCAGGCCGCAGGGCGTGCTGGGAAGCTGTGCGGAGGGGGGCTCCAAACAGCAGGGCGGGTACTTACTACGGTCAGTTTCCGGGGGCCGTACCCTGCCTTCTTCGCCACCACCGATTTCTGCTGCACACCAGAAGATAAGTTAGTGCCAGCTGCGGTGCTAGAGGGCGCCGGGCTGCGAGCAGCAGGATGGGGGGCTGGGCAGGGGGCGCTGTGGTGCGGGGCAGGGGGCGATCTCCCCTGGCAGCCAGGGCCGGGTGCTGGGGGGCACCGTGCTGCGGGGGCGCTCTCTCCCTCACTGCGGCACCCCTTCAAAGGGGCAGCGGAGCCTTCCCAAAAGTGGGGGGGCCAGGGCCCCACCCCGACCCTCCTCTTCCCCCAAGCCCCTCGGGTGGGGGGGGCTGGGGGCAGCCCCCCGCCCGGGCCCCCGCCCCCCCGGGGTGGGGGGCTCTGCGGCTCCCCACCGCCGACCCCCCCGGACGATCCCCCCCCCCCCCCAGCCGCCCCCCCCCCCACCTTCTTCTTGAGGCAGCGGCGTTTCAGGCATTTCCACTGCCGCTTCAGGCCGGGCTTCAGCCTCCGCAGGCAGATGTAGCAGCTGCCGCAGTCCTCGGTGGCCTGGCAGCCCTGGCACACGCCGCAGCCGAAGCCCTGCGCAGGCAGAGGGGAGAGGCCGGGAGTGAGGGGCACGGCAGGGCGGGAGGGGAGCCCAGGGCTGGGCTAGCAGGGGCTGCGGGTCGGGAGTGAGGGGCACCAGAGGGGGGAGCGGCGGGGAGGGGAGGGGGGCGGGGCGCCGGCCGGTACCTTCTTGACGATTTTCAGGCAGCGGCGCAGGAGGCATTTCCTGCCGATCCGGAGCTCGGGGTTCTTGGCCCGCACAGCGCACACGGTGCAGATGCCGCAGTCCTCGGGGATCTGGCAGGCCTGGCAGGCCCCACAGCCCACCCGCTGCAAGAGGGGCAGGGCCTTCAGCCGGCGCAGCCACGGCCCCTCGCCCGCCCCCCACAAGGAGGGGACCAGGGAAACAGACCCAGCCCCCTGGAGGCCCGACTCCCAGCCCCACCTGCTCTAGCCACTGGACCCCACTCCCCTCCCAGAGCCAAGGAGTGAACCCACGTGTCCTGGCTCCCAGCCCCCCTGCTCTAACCACTAGACCCCACTCCCCTCCCAGAGCCAGGGAGTGAACCCAGGTGTCCTGACTCCCAGCCCTCCCCTGCTCTAGCCACTGGACCCCACTCCCCTCCCAGAGGCGGGGAGAGAACCCAGGAGTCCTGGCTCCCAGCCCCCCCTGCTCTATCCACTAGACCCGACTCCCCTCCCAGAGCCAGGGAGAGAACCCAGGAGTCCTGGCCCTCACCCCAGCCCCAGGCCTGGCCTTACCTTGAAGAACCGCTGCTCCCTGTTGAAGTCTCTTCTCTGGGCTGAAAGAAACAAGCCAGCGTTGGCACCGGTGGCTGACGCTCAACACAACAGGTAGCGGCACCAGGGCAGGTGGGGCCAAAATAGGTCAGTCTCCCGGAGATGCAGCCACCTCTGGGGTGGGGTTACTGGGGCACAGAGACACACGGGGACAGCTCGCCCGGCACTGAGATGCAGCCGCCTCTGGGGCGGAGTCCAGACAGGACACCTGGGTTCACAGCCCGGCTCCTTCTAGGAGGGGCAAGGGAGCTGGGCAAAGCAGCAGGACCCCCCCGCCCCCCAAGCAGAACGGGGTCTAGCCATCGGCCCCAGCCGCCGGTGCGACCCTCCCCACCCTGCTCACCCACCTCGGCAGTCCGGGCACAGCCAGCGGCAGCGTCTCTGGCTGGGCAGCATCACCCCGGGGAAGTAGTTCTGGCAGCTGGCGCAGCATCTGGAAGGCAGAGGTGGGCTGCTGAGGTCCCACGTCTGGGGCCCCCCAGGTTGGTGATGAGCTCACAGCCACCCCCCGGGGGGCAGGGACCCTGCTAGGCCTGGTCGGAGGGACAAGGGCCTGCCAGGCAGTTCCTGTGCCGGGGAGGGATCGTGGCGTGGGAGACGGACCAGGGACACTGGGACGTCTCCGTGGACGAATAGAACCCAGGAGTCCTGGCTCATAGCCCCAGCCCGCTCCCAACACTAGACCCCACTGCCCTCCCAGAGCCGGGGACAGAACCCAGGCGTCCGGCTGGGCTCTCTGCACCTCCCCATAGCGTTTGCATTGTTACCCGGAGGGCTCAGGGGACGGGGCACCCCAGGGGGGCTGGGGGAAAACTCACGCCACTACGGCATCCTGCGCCGATTCCTGGGCTTCCAGCAGGGCCGCCGGGCGCTTCCGGGGGCGTCGCTCCGGGAGGGGCGGAGGCCGCTGCTCCGGGGGCGGCTGCTCCGGGGGCTCCGGCTTCACGAGTTGCTGTTTGGGGGGCGGCTGCTCAGGGGACTTTGGGGGGTCTGGCTCCGACAACGAGAGGTGCCTCTTCTGGGCCTTCTTCACCTGCACGGGGCGCAAGGCGAGCGGGGCTGGAGGTAGGGTCCCAGCCCCCTGCAACATGGGGTGGGGAGGTCAGCCAGGCCCTCCCCAACAAGCCCCGTGTGATGCCCCCCTCCACCTGCCATTCCTGACCCAATCATGCATTATGTGCTGGACCCCTCCCCTCCCAGAGCCAGGGAGAGAACCCAGGAGGTCCTGGCTCCCAGCCCCCGGGAAGCGCTTTCACTAGCGGGAATGGCGGCCGCGCCGGCATGGACACCGACGTTCCCAGCAGGCTGTGAGCGTGGCCTCTGCCTGGCTGGCCGTGGGAGCGGCTGGCCCAAGGGCGGCCGCTTGCACAATCAGCAGCTTGCGACACGTGAGCCAACCGCACCAGCGTGAAAGGCCCGGTTACCGTGGCCGCTTTGGAGGGAGTTTTGGTGCACGGAGCCAACCGCGCGGCCGGAGCCTATCGACCGGGACATGTGGGTGTCACACATGGCTCGTGGGACCCTAATTACGGCTCCCCGGAACACACCGCTGGGGGGAGACGTCATGAACCCTGGCCACAGGCGGGAGGGAAAACGGGTCTAAAAGAGGCGTTACCGGACTCCACCCAGCACATGGGGACTGGTGGGGTGAGGTTTGTGTCGCACCCGCCCCCTGGCTTGGCTTTCGTCGGCTCCAGGCGCCAGGGACTGCGAGACTAGTGTGCGGGGCGGGTTTGGGTGCCACCGCAGCCCCGCTCAGGGTTTCCAATCAATCCTTCGCCTCCATTTCTGGGTCTGAGAGTTGCCGCCCGCACAAATTCCCTGGAGCCGCCTGCGTCCAGGGCCTGAGTCTCACCCGGACGGAGCGAAGGCAACCGGAGTTTCTGCCAGAGCCCCGGGCACGGCGAAAATCACCAACCAGAGTCGGCTGGGAGCCGCGGCGAGAACGGCCGCCCTCAGCACCGGCTAAGCACGAGGGACGGTTATTCACCAGCTCAGCGCATTCCCAAGGGGCAGGAACACACAGGCCCTCGGAAGAGGACGCGGGAGCAACAGGATCATGGATGGGGAGGTCGTGTTCCAACTAGGAACCGCTTGTTTTGGGCATCGCTTTATAAAGGGGAGGGGGCACCCAGCCGAGTTTTCGGCACCGTGCCCATGGTCAGGCCTGCCGCGGGGATTCTGACACACACACACACACACACCCCCCGGTACCTTGGGGGGCGGTTCGCGGAGCACGCCGTTCTTGAAGTCGAAGTTGGTCAGGTCCTGCGAGGGCCCCAGGAACCTGGTGAGCTCGATCTTGCTGCGGAATTTCTCACCGTTGGGGCTGCGGGAGGGGAGGCAGAGACAGAGCCAGCGTCAGAGAGCACCCCAGCCTGGCCTGGGGGGCTGGGAATACCCCCCCACACACACACCCCGCCCAGGGAAGTGATGCACCTGCCTGGAGCCATAGGGAGCCGGGAGAACAGGCTCGCTCGCAAACGACGTGGGAAGGCCACGTTTTTCCATGCAGCGCAAAATTAGCCTGTGGAACTTACAGCCACAAGGTAACAATCCACAGGGACACTGGCAGGGATTAAATAACAGAACCCGAGACCCAATCTCAACTCTGCTTTAGAGCAGGAGCCAATCGCTACAGGGCAGGAGGGAGACGCTGCCCCCTACGGGAAGGGCAGGGCTCAGACAGGAGACCGGGAATTCTCTTTTCATGGGAAACAGGCAGGAGGTTAAAGGGGGTTGGGCGGTGGGGCACAGGGGACTCATGGCTACTGAATCCCACTCCCCCGTCACAGCGGAAGAGCAGGCCAGGGTACCCACTCAGAGGATCGCCCCCTGGATAGTCGTCCCCTGCAGGGATCTGGGGGGGCCAGACTTCCGAGGAGATGCCCATGAACGGGGGGGGCGTTAAGAGGGAAGCGCTGGCCGACGGAAGGAAACAGTGGCCGGCAAGC